GATCAAAGAAAGGAGACTGGTGTTCAAACATTCATTGAGTGTTCCCACCTTTTGTATGGAATTGATGAAGAGTTGAGCAATTTGTTCTTTATTGTATGTCCATTCTCCAGTTGGTTGACTTAACTACTGGAAATTGTTTTGAATTGCTCTCTGGTTTGCTATTTTGTGGAAGTATTTTGTGTTCTTGTCCCTGCCTTTGAGCCAGAGCTCTCTAGATTTTAGCCTATAGATTTCCTCTTCTTTTCTTAACTAATACAAGTATTGAGCTTGAAGGTCTCTGAGTTTTTGGGGATTTACATTTTGCATTTGAAAGTCAGAAATTTCCTTTTGTAGTTTATTGAGATAAGCTTGTATCTTCCCAAAAGTCTGATGATTCCAAACTTGGAGGGTTTTTTTGCACTCTTTAAGCTTCGTGATTATTTGGAAATGTGGAGATCATAATATGTGGGTCTGCCATACTGAAGTGATGATGTCTCTACAGTCTTGGTGATCTGTCCAAAAAGGTAAAAAGTGGAAATGGGATGTTCTACTAACTGTGATTGGTTTTGCGGTTAACTTGATGGGTGCATGATCTGATGAAATGATGGGCAGATGATGGACTATAGAGTCTGGATATAGATCTGTCCAGGAGTATGTGGCAAAAGCTCTGTCTAGTCCTTCTAGGGTCTTGGCTCTTCCATGCTGCCCATTTGTCCATGTGTAAGGTGGTCCTATGAAATCAATGCTGATCAAGTTAAAAAGTTGAATGAAATTCTGGGGGTGCTTTGATGTTTTAGGGATTTGATTTTTGTAGTTTTTTGGTCTTGAGTTGTGAGGAGATCATTGACATTTCCAAGTAAAAGCCAAGGGAGAGTGACTTGTTGTAAGGTATCTGTTAATTGAAGCCAAATGAGTTTTCTCTGATTTTTTTGAGAGCGGCCATATATACAGATGAGGATCCAAGGTTTGTTGGTAGGGAGGTTTCCAATTTGAAGGATTATGAAGTTTGGCTGTATGTGGAGTGGTTTTGCTGTGATGCTTCCAGACCAGCAAAATAAGAAGCCTCCTGATTGGCCTCTTGATGGTTGAATCAAGTGACCCGGATATTTTAATTTTGTACCAAGCTCCTAGGATTATTCATGTCCATCTTGGTTTTACTTAGAAACCAAATGTCCGATTTTTCTTTTTTTATTGTTTTGCATAGGTTCCGGAACTTTGAGGGTTTATTGGCAAAGGCTATGAGATGTTGTATAGAAGCCGACCGTCAAAAAGCTTCTGCACTAATAGAATACTCCAAGAGGCGGTGAAATTGGATTTGATTGTTTGGTTTCTAGTTTAATATCTGTTACAACCATATTACCTTCATATTTATCAAGTTTTATTGTACTTATGTCAGGAGAAGGGACCACAGTATTACTGCTTAGAGTCACCGGATTGACTTTCTAATAATGTAATGGTTGATAATGGTTTCGTCAGTTGATGAACTTGTTTTACCCAAAAATATTTAGAAAATGAATAAAAATAACATAAAAAAGGGTCCTATATTGGCCTCAGACAAGTCTAGAATGGTTGAGGGTTCGTCGCTAACATGGATGAGATAACCAATTGATGGCATTACCAATTACAGATTCTGAAATCAAGCTATGGTCCGAGTGTCTGACTGCCAATATTAAAAATTGCTTGAGAACTTTCCCTAGACTCTGTTTCTCTCTTATTTTCTGATAAGCCAAACACAGTTTTTTGTGTGTGTGTGTGTGAGACTTCTCAGGCCTTCAAACATTCTAGTAATGTTCACAGAACATGTTAAAACAGATGCCCATGCATACTTAAGAGACTGAGTGTGTGTGTGACTTCTCAAGCCTTCAAACATTCTAGTAATGTTCACAGAAAATGTTAAAACAGACGCCCATGTATACTTAGACTCTATATAGCCTAGTTAACAAGTGATGCTCTCAAACTCAAAGTAGATGTGGTATACTATCTAATACAAAAAAGTGTAATCGAGAATAATGCGTGTAATTTGAAGTTTTGAACTTCCCTGAATTCCTTGTTGACAGACAACCAGGATCTGATGGTGGCCTTCAGTTCGTCTAGTTATCTCTTCTAGTGTTCTACTCTTGTTTTCAAATACATGTGCATCTATCTCTCTGCCTCTAATATTCAATGAAGGGCATTTCCCATATCATATCTCCTTTCTTGATGAATCGCTCGATCTGCCTGGACTGTGGCAGTGTCATTAATGTTGCCGGGGAGCACCAACAAATTCCAAACACTTCAAGGTGTGACCACAAGGCTGAAGAGAACGCACGGACGCACAGTGTAGGAATAAGTGGTCTATTGTTTCCTCCACCTCTCCACATAACCGACACCATATGTTCTGCAATTGCATTCCTCTTCCAAGCTGCATTGTGAGGCATTTTCCATGGGTTTCTGTAGCGCTCTACTAATCCTAAGACACTTGGAGCCAAGTGGCCCAAATGTCATCCTTCCATCATAGCCCAGCATACCCCAGTATTTGCACCTACTTTTTTGAAAGGCAGCAAAAAATGTATTGTATTATATCTGTAAAAAGGAGGGCGAGACACCCTCAGTGAGGGGATTTACAATATGCTTTACAAAAAGACATTGAAGCATATACAAGAACCCCACAACCCTTGGAAAATAATAGAGAACCAATCTTCTTTCAAGGAATTAACAGAAATCCCCAAGAACCGGTGAATCACTAACGCCCACTGAAATAGGAGCCATTCTATTTTACAAATCAACACTTCATGACACGAGGATTTCCCTTGGAAAATTCTGCTATTCTCTCCTTCCAGATCACCCAACAGATAGATACAGATTGCAAAAGGCAGCAGACTCCAAAGAATCTCCCTTCAGTAGAAAAACCATCCATTGTCCAAGAAGATAGCAAGTCCACCAAAGATTGAGGACAAGCCCATTGCCTTCAAAACAGCTTAAGAAAATGGCTCCAGAATCTGGACCATGAATAAGTATTTGCACCTTACTCATGGCTTATGATAATAACAACAATCTGGACCATTTAAAAGACTACCGGAACTTAGACACTTGTGTCAGTAAGTACTACCAGATGGGAACCATTTGGCATACTTCCAGGGCTTCAGTTGAAATTCCAGTCAAATGGAACCTCCCCTCATGTGGTTAGAATTTGAACTAAGCTCAACACTGATGGATCAGCATTGGAAACATCCCCCTTAACAGGTGCAAGGGTAAGCGAAAGATCATCACAGGAAAGCTTAAGATCTATACATACACCAAGTTTTAGAAAAATTACAATTGAAAGAGAAGCTACCACCAGTGTTTAGGCACACCTAGGTTCACAGGTTCATATTATAGGATGTGAGTGTGCCTCATCAGAACCAAGGTGCACATCATTTGGCTTGTTGTGTTTGAATGAATTACCCTTTAATTTAATATTGATTATGTAACTAGTTTTTTTTAGAGTTTAAACAATTTAGCTTATGTGGGACTTACACATACATGCTAACATGCCCTAACCAAATAAATTAGTTGGATTTTTGAAATATTGTTTCTTTCAGAATATAGATTTATATATTCCTATTTATTAAGTTCTTAATTTTTTTTGAAAAATGGTGCTTCACTTTGTTCACCTTGAACCTCCCTGTCCAGGAACCCCTTGCACTTCAGCTGTGCCTTCTCACATTTAGAACACTGACCACCACAGCTATAGCAATATCGCTTTTTGTACTAGTTCAACCAATTCTCCATGACATCTTCAAGATTAAAGGGATACATACAAGTCTCTAGAATTGTTGTTAAAAGTCATTATTTCAAATGTCCTAGATGCGGTCTTGAACATGGCTTGTAGTGCACATTTCTACTATCTCTGATACTGTCTGCTTCTGGCCCATTTGGCTATATTGATTGGTGGTCTTCTTACAAGCAGCTAAGTAAAAAAAGGTAGGGATATGTAGGTTGTAAAATCTTGACTATTACTGCTCTTTTATATTCAAGGCAGCAGAACCAGGAGCTTTTAGGTAAGAACAAGTTTCATCCTTCTTGTCTGACTAAGAAGATTTTTCAACCTACAGCTAAGGTGGCAATTGCATCTTGCCACAAAAATCAAATCCCTAACTTGCATAATCTTTATATCAGCAAATCCATTATTTGGATAGCTTACAGTAAAGTGTTGATGAGGCAAGTGAAATGTCTTTTTGAATGGCAGCATATGGAGTCATGATTCAATCAACTAAGGTGCATTTCTTTGCAACAAAAAGAGACAGGACATAAGTGCAATAGAGCAAGGAAGCAAAATTAGAAGCTAGTATTACAAGTTTGAAATGATTACAGGAGTTAAAAACTCAAATTTTAGCTAGTGCCTGAAGCCAAAGTAGTGCTAGGTAGTTCCAATGGTAAGTTAGATTGTATATATTGCTACAACTATCACCTAATATATGAGAACTGAAGTCTTGCTATTTTAATTATGTAAATATGAAATCCTGTTATGCAGCTAGAATAACTGTAGCCCATGGATTGATCAAAAGGCCAAGTCAAATGCGTCTTATAAGTAAAGGCTAAGCATTCCCCTACTCCCAGTTGGTTTCATTAGGCCCTAGAAGGATAATAGGAAGTGTAGTTAGTGATTCTTGTGCCCTATACTATTATATTTAGTTATTTAAAAAAGAAAAAGCAACTCTTGAGTACAGATGACAATGGATAAATACATGAATAGTAAAGCTAGCATAGCAACACACTCATCAGTTTAAATCTTGCTACAGATGGGGGTATATAAATCTTTTCTTAGGAAGCTCCACAGGATCTGTATTGTTTCAAGAGAACAAGATCGAAGGCAGTCTTTGTACATGCTACATATTTTAGCATATCTTTCTGCTTTAGGGGGGAAAAAAGAAAGCATCCTCAAACAACTCGACAAGTTACCATGGTGATAGCATATATAATGGCAAACTAGGCATGTAAATTTTGGTTCATGTTAAAGATACAAGAGATGGTGTATACAAATTTGTGAGGAAAGGTCGAAGTACACCAAATGCACTTTCAGTAGCTAAAAAAGAATATGCTCTTGCAATAACAAATGCAGACTAACAGACGAAAACATTCAACTTCTAATAGTTCTAGAAGGTGAGATTAGATCAAGCTCTAAAAATTTGGAAATATGCCAAATTTCTCCTCTAGAATATAACAAACAAGATGAGCAGAAAAGCAAAATAAGTGAAGGAACACATTCAAGAAGAACTAACTAAAAGTACCAGAGAAGCATATACAACTGCAACACATCTATATTTACAGACCTAGTAAAAGGCAAAAACAACTGATAATTGGCATGTAGTATTTATCTCCTTTGGCTTACAAGACTCAAGTGCGAGGCAAGTGCAGCTCTGACCCTCTCTCCACTCTCATTTCCCTGCCCATCAAATAGAGGAAATTTCTGCTCCATCAAATAATCCTCAGTTTCATCTGGTAGCGGCTCACTCTGCTTGGCAAGAAAATTATGCAGAAGACAACCAGTAACAATAACAAATGGGAAGGACTCCATGCATTTTTCTTTCCAGTTCACAGAAAGAAGCCGCCAACGTGCCCTCACTCTCGCAAATGCCTTACTAACCAATTCCATTCCACGATTATGAGTAGAATTAAATGCCAATTCCATGGAATTTGAATCATCCTTGCTTGGCTTGCTGAAAGGTGTGATAAGCCAAGGTAAAAGAGGACAGCAAGAGTCCCCCAATACATATTGAGGAACCAAATTGCCCTCACTCAGCTCAGAGGGAGGCCCATTCAACAGCTCCTTGGATTCTTCAACCCGCAAAAAGAATTTCGTCTGGCGTAAAATGGTGTATGGACTCATTGAACTCGGCCAACCAGCAGAAATGTCCAAGAACCTACCTTCAGAATCCACCAACGCCTGTACAATGATGGCCCCATCCTTCCCCAACCCATCTCCGTCAATATGAAATTTAATGAACCCCAGAACGCCAAAACAGTTTGGGAGTGAAATCCAACTAAACCCTTCAGTAATTCTCTTAAAATCAGAGGTTAACTCAAGTAAATGAGAAAGCTGGTTGTTCACCAACTTACAGACCGTGTAGAAAGCACGACAGGAACCAGCTGAGTCAAGACCAAATCGCCTCCCCACGGACTTAAATGGAGCGGCGTGAGCCAACCGGAAAAGTGCAGCTCCAAGGACGTAATCAGGAGAGGTAGTGGAGAATGAATTACGCAGAGAAGGGGACAAGGTTTCGAGGAGGAAAGTGAATGAGGGCTTGGACATCCGAAAGACTTCAACCCATCTGGGATCAGAGTCGTCGGAGGCGGCAGAAAGGAAGCGCTGGAACCAACATGAGGAAGGCGAAGAAGAAAGAGGAGAGATCAGAGTTGTAACGGTTGTGGAAGGATTGAGGGCTTCGAAGAGAGAGTTGAGTTTGGTAAGGGAGAGAGCAGTGGAGGCAACATTTGATTCGAGAGAGAGGGTTTGGGATGGGTGGAGGTGGAGATCGTTTTGGGTGAGGAAGGAGTGAGCAGCGGTGGTAGCGGAGGCCACGAGAGAAATAAGTGGGGAGAGATGCTCGTGGTCTCGGATTTTCTTTTTACGTTTCTTGCCGGCGGTGCCGCTCTTTCTCCCCCTGCCGGCCATGATGAGAGCTGACACTGCTAGTGTTGTTGTCAAGCTAATTTTCTGGATATCGATATTGGGAGCCCGGATCCCCTGTAAGCAAAAAATGCTGCTTAGATAACATCCAACCGCTCATTGAGAATACCCTCAATAGCGAGATGTTCCGTAGCGGGATTCTCATAATTTGACGGTGTGTGCAAAGGTTGCACGCCAGACCAATGGTAAAGGGCATCAGAATTTTATAGCCCTATGGTAAGGGAGAATGTTATAGGGGGAGAGGGCTAGTAGTAGGGGAGGGGGTGGAATTCAGAATTCTATATCTGTACTTCTCGTTAAATATATGGGCCCGCTTTTTTATAATAGCCCTGAATTTATTACTGGTATATAACCTCAACATTGGTTTCATAGCTGATAGCCCGCTGAATAGCTAAAGCGTTCGATTAATCTTAAAAACCAATCTGAAATTGATTCACCTGGTTCCTAGGTCAAATGGTTTGACCATCTCAATGGTAGTTCGAAAATACTAGTATGATGTGATACTGAAAATTTTAAAAAGAATATATTTTATCTACCTTTAATGATTTATTAATTTATTTTACAAATAAATTATATGTTAATAGTGAAAATATTTTTCTTATTTGAAAATATAATTATTATATAAAAATATTAAATAAATAAATTTTCCCAACAAAATTATTAGAAAATAGAAAATTATAAAATGATTTATTTTACTTACCTATATATATATATATATATATGTTTTATTTTACAATTATATATTAAAATGAAAACATATTTGTTACTTAAAAAAATAGTTATTATTTATATAAAGTACTAAATAAATAAAATTTCTCAAAAATCTAATAAAAATGAATATTATAATTATTAAAATTGAATGAGAGTGATAATTATTATATAATGTGCACATGTTCTAGAGTCTTGGTTTTGTTGATTGTAATGTTTCTCTTTAGATAACCTATTAAAATGTGTATTTCTTATGTTTTTATATTTTATTCATAGATAATTCAGCTTTAGGTTTAAAATTATTATTGTATTTATGCGATTTGTATGCATTTTCATATCTTCTGTCTGTATCCATTTCTGTGTTTAAATTGTCCAATATAATATCCGATACTAATACTTTGATCTTGTTGTCATCTAATATCAACACCAAACCATTTATACTTGTGTTTAGTTGGAGAAGGAATTAACTACATTAGTAGGAGTAGCCCTAAGCAAAATCTAAGAAACTACAACCTTCAATGCACTATTATGGCCGTTACTTTATCCAATTCAAGGTAATAGCGAAATTTGGGCGGGTCAAGTTGCACTCAGACCAACTCAACTCAACTCACAGTTTTACATAATCTAGGCTTGGATTTCCAGTCTTCAGATTTGGCTTGGGCTTAAAAGCTTAGGTTATTTTATTTTTAAAGTTAAACCTTGAATGCATAAAGTTTCAATTTGAACTACGCTCAAATTGGACAATTTGGGCTTAACCCGATTCTTAGAATTGGACCTGGATTGAACTTAAGCTGGACCCAATTTGCACCCCCTAATGAACCATAGCAAGACATCAAAGAGCATGATTCACAATATTAGCCTAGACGTACTCCAATGGGTGCAGCTGATTTTTTGAACATTTTTGGTTGATATCTAAAACATTTACATTAAATGCTTATACTGAATGTGACACCACCCTACTACTATACAAACTCTCGTCCAATGGTCCTTTTATTTTTGGTAAAGATTCGTCCAATGGTCAAATCTAGAAATAAATGTTTTCTAAATACAGATTAACATCTATAAGCAAATCTAATGGTTATCACAATCAATATTCTTTTAATCTTGTAATAAAAAAAAAAAGACAAGAATAAAGTACCATGTCAGAAAACAGCCCGCTAGCCTATGTTTTTCAAACAATCATCATACCAAACATAAAAAAATTGGATTTACTCCTAACATCTTCTCATGAATAACAACATATAAGGACATGAGATGCTCTAGTGCACCGTGAGATTTCCAAACCTCACCTAACATCGTCATTTCTACTAATGTTAAAAGATTCTTGATTCTCGTGGGTGGGTTAATTTTTATCTTCAAGATCTCGTGATTAGTGTCAAATCACCTTAAATTGCAATCTTTCTGCTCCTCAACATTTTTGCCGTGGTTTTGTTTTTGAAAATAAAAACAACTGCTCCCGCATTATGGTTATACACCATCCCCCAACCCATAATCCACCTAACCTGCATGCGGGCTTCAATCTCAAGTCTCCGCTACAATCAGCAAGAGACTTTACCAACTGGTTAGCACCTAATGATTTTTGTTCAATGAATGTATATGTAGAGAATTGTTTTTATTTTCAAAATTAGCACCACACACATTATGAACAACCCTAAGTACCAGATGCATTAGATGCAATTTGCCAAGAGAGAGGTTAGTTCCTGGTATTTATTCATGTATTTTAGATATATAGAGCCAATTTTAGTTGTTCTTCAAGAATGTTTTTATTGTCTTCATCATCTCAAAAGTCACAGATTGATTGGATTTAATATCCAAGATGTATTTTAGAATTTGTTTTCGAGAGAATGACAGTTCAGCCCAGGGTCAGAATTTTTAGGCCTTAAAGTACAGATGAGGTAGGTGCCAATTCTAAATTGATGTTAATTCACAGCCAGGCATTGGTGTATAGAATAAGAATTTTTGACATTTTGAAAGTTTATAACTCTGCAGTGAAAATTAAAAATCTACATTAGCTCTGTCCATACTTCTCTGTTTGTTTTAAACTCGGGTGAAATTTATCTTCTCATTCAGGTGCCAGCAGTCTTCCAAAAGGCATCCTGATCAAATGCAGCAGTATGCCTTGACAGTATAGCAGGACGGCAGCGATGGCTTGAGATATGAATAGACTTACCAAAGAAAAAAATGGCCACACTGACTGAGATCAACTCTAAATTGCATACATTTTGTCTCATTAACTTTTTTTCTATATCTTTTGACCAACAACTGGAATGCTATGGGTCCTCTCCTCTAATTATGATCATCCAAAAGAATTGTTTATGGCATAGATCCCTTGGTGAGACCTTTGGCATGTAATATGTCATAGGTAGACAGATGAGACTTTCTTTCTTGTTGCCTCTCAAAAGATTTGAATTGCTGGTTTATCTTTTCACAATAAATGCCGTTTGATCAGAGCAAAATGGAACCTACTCTATCATTATGGTTGATTACAGAGCCTTAAAACATGATTTCATAGCAAGGATTTCAGTTGTGCTAAACTTCTTCAAGCAAGTTCCAATCCAGAACTGGAACCGGAGTTTTCTTAGGTACATTAAATGAAGAAAAAAGTTATTTGTTCTCATGCAATACTAAGGGTTTTATGTAAGTCAAATAATTGTATTTCTTAACTATTATACTAAAACAGGTTTGTCAGGGATGGAAGCCCTGGACATCTAGGGCATCTCAGCAATAAGCCCAGGCACCCCAGGCACAGACAAAGCTTTGGACACCTCGGGCATCTCAGCAATAAGCCTCGGCACCTCAGGCATAGGCAAAGCTCTGGACACCTCGGGCATTTCAGTAAGCCCCGGCACCCCAGACACAGAAAGCCTTGACGACCTCAAGCACAAACAAATCCTGGCAACCCTAGGCACAGAGAAAACCCTAGGCATAGACAAAGCCCTGGCAACCCCAGGCACAAATAAAGCCTTAGCAACCCTAGGGATAGACAAAGCCCTGGCAACCCCAGGCACAAATAAAGCCTTAGCAACCCCAGGCACAGAGAAAGCCCTGACAACCCCAGGCATAATCATACCTTCATGTAACCATTGGGGGCTTCATCGATGGCAGGTATGACTCCCATCCAATTTATACTAAGGGAAGACAAACTTCACCCGCCCCTACATTAACAATAAAATTCCACTAAAAAACAACATTTCACTTCCCCAAACATGGTCGCGATGAAACTCTAACTTATGCTACTTATTTATACTATGACTAAAACCCAAACTGTATCACCCATAAAGGGTCTCACCTTCTTAAAGGCACAACAACCATCGATCCTTGCGTGTGTAACAAAAATTGCATTTCCTTACAAAGTAATTCAAACTTCCCCTTCTATGAAAACGTTAATCTATTATTTACATAATGTTATCTGGGATAACTCCTCCGCACCTGATAGTATCTCAGATGATTGAAATAACACTGTTCATTTTCTCTGATGATCTGCGATAAAGTTCACTATGCCTGCGATAAAGTCCACATAGAAGCCCAATCCTTCTACAAAAAAGATCAATTACCCTCCCCTATGTGCATATTAAAATTGTTCACAACCTTATAGCACCCAGCGAAGATTCAAGAAACAAAATAATAGTCGATTTCTCTCTCCTCTCTAACAATTTGTGACTAGAGGCCAATTATGATGGTAAATCACCATGAAACATATAGGCGTGATCACAAAATATTCAATTTTGAATACTTGGGTTTTATTTGTGACCTATAGACGCAATTTGCAATAAAGCTTTAAGACTCCGGATACCCACACCATGTTACTCAACAAATCACGCCGGGCCTTCAAACCGGATAACGTGCCCAATATGTTTTGATAAGTACCTACGATGCGATGATGTTAGTTTTCGATTTTAAGATAGCATGGCTAATATGGTATATCTTGGAAATCGGTATGACACTCAATTTCTCCCTCTAGCGGTCTACGACTAAAGTTTGAAGTCGTACATATGTCAACACTCGAGAGATAAAAGTTTGCAAAACACCCAAATTTAAATCTTATTTCGATAGTTGCACTGAATTTCCAAACTAAGGAGTACGCATGATCTGCTTTGCCAGAACAAGAGTTGCGATAATGTTTCAATACTTCTAAATACCGAGTGAACATAGGATCACTATTAACTTAAATGCACAAACCTGGCCATTGCTAGAAAAAGGCAACACACATTGCAATCCCATACGCTCTCTCGCTATCCCCCTCCCCTATCAATGGCCATGGGGGGCTGAAAATATGAAAACTCAACATTAGCTTGCTCGTTGCTAGGAAGGAGCATCACACATAGTAATTCCCAATGTCTTTTGCTAATTTCCTTCCCATCAACGGTCAAGGGGGCTGAAACACACAAACAAGGTGTAGCATTGACCATTGATAAGAAGGAAATCACCAAAAGACAGGGGGGCTAAATTGTGGAACGCGGGGAGTCCCCATTGCAGACACAAGACGCATCCTACCTGCACAAAATCACAAAAATAGGGCAAATTCTTAGACCCTACGCATGCAAACCAACTCACCCCAAGATCTAAAAACCAATACGAAGGCAAATGCTTATCGATAAGCTCTCACTTACCGATAAGCAGGGGGGCTAATGTAGGTATATGATAGTCACTAAGACCATCAGAATACAAAGGGTGTTAAACCAATGCTACGTGGACGTCTGTGATGAATCCGTAATATATCGCATGTTTGCAATAAGCTCATTGCAGATTTGCGATTGTGATGAACTCATGCCCATGACAAGTTGCGACGAACTTCGGCTAGCACGAATTTGCGATAAAGTTAAAACACGCGTGGGTTTGCGATGAACCCCAAACATGCGTAGATTTACGATGAACCCTAGACACACATGGAGTTGCGATGAACCCGACACCATTACGATAACTGTAGAATCACGATAGATCGGGAATAAATGCCGATTACACGTGCTTCTTTTAATTACGCATGCGAAACAATGATGTTACTCACACCATGTCAGTACAATAGGGTCACAAATGGGGAGAATCCAAAAGGGATAAGATTCTCCAATAATGATCCTCTAATAATCAAATAAAAGGAAAGATCCCCTTTCCTAACAGAAAAGAACTTCTTTTTTGATAATCTTAACTTTCTCTCTATAAAAGGAAAATGGCAATCCTTCTCTAAGGAGACAACACAATCATAACTCTGACCTAGGGTCTCACAAGGGTATTCTCCCTTCCCTATTCTCTTCTCCTCTCTTTCCCACATTCTCTCTCTTTTCCGCTGCCATCTCCGAACCTTTGGAGATTGACCAACCTCCGCCTTATCATGGTACACATAGAAGGTGAGTAAGACTTGACAGAAAGATCCTCCTCTTCCTCCTCCTCATCATCATCATCCAAGCATTATCCCAACCATATCGATATGGGGTGGGATACTTAGAATCTTATTTCACCATTGTTTAAAGCTACATCCATTTAACAATTAATGAGCGCTAAAATCATTTGTCACTACTTCGACTCATATCCTATTTGGTCGAATCTACCCTTAGCTCTTCTCATCCCTTCAACTTGCAACAGATACCTTCTTATAGATGCTATTAATGGTTTTTTATGCATGTGTACAAATCATCTTAGCTACTCCAATGTTCCTCCAAATAAGTTCTTTTCTGACCCTACTGTGCAGTTCAGATAATCATTGATTTCGGTGTGAAGTTATGCTTTTTATTTGCAGAGTTTAGGTCTGCCTCCAACCCAAAACCGCAGTTGCAGCTCCACCACGTAGTGGCTAATGCCTGCACCCATTTTGAAGGTAAAGGAATAGGCCTACAAATGGCATCCAAATTTAATCCGTTCAAAATTGGATTGAATATTGATATACTCCAACACAATTCAATATCATCAATTCCGGTTCAATAATATTTTGAACATTTATAAACTTAGAGCCATTAGTAATATCGGTTTGAATGTTCGTACAATGCAGTCGAAAGAGTTATTTTCATATCCAAATTCAATTTTACTTTGTTAATAATGTATTGTTCTGATTTTTTAGTTTAATTTATTAATGGTTTCCCATATCCAAATTCAATCCTAGCCTAATGCTCTGATCTAAATCCCAGTAAGGTTAAAAAATTACAACGTACAAGTACCTATCATACGATAATTATTGACTTTCAGGGTCACTGATACATTCTTTATCAAGGTTCTAAACTTTGAAAAGGATAGATTCCATACAGGTTCCTCCGTTCTATTACCAGAAAAGAGGTTTAAAATAAGGAGGAGTTTGGTGGTTTAAAACTTTCAATAAGAGAATTAAAAAAAAAAAAAAAAAGATCATCATACTTGATATCATTTTTTTCTCCAAATCTTATTTCTGTTTCCTTTTACCTAAATGCAAGTCATGATTAATCAAGAATATTAAATTGTATCATCAAATCATAAATGATAACAACAAATTTATCACCTTCATATAATTTGATGGGATGCCAAATGGACCCTTCACGGAGTGCTGTGTATACACCATGCCTGGACCCCTTGTGGAGTAGTTCTTTGATGGGATGTCTTTTAGGGTATGTTTGTATGTATTGAATTTTTCGGTGTACTCGCAACCTATGGTAAAATCTCATGCTAGCGCAAATGTGAGAACACGGGTTCAAGTCTAAGAACTGCCATTTTGTTCAAAAAATGCCAAAGGTGCTAAAGGTTAGGACCATCCATATCCAGTCTGTGCCTCCCAAGAACAATGGCCTTTTATTACAAGTCAAAATATGGCCCAATTTGTAAGGATTCAACAAGATGAACTTAAAGAACTGATTTGAGATTCATTAATAGAAATTTATATCCGAGTTACAAATTCTGCTATCCTCTAATGATAATGAGAAAGCTCTCCATGTCAGTATCTAGTAACATGTTTGCAGCATCGTATACGTTTATGTGGCATGTTGTTGTGAATAATGGTTAGATGGAAATTCAATGTCTGTTACCATATTTATCTGTCTATCTTTTGAGCTGCTTTCCACATTCTTCTCTTTGCGGTCTCGTGGAAGCTTGTTACAGTTGATGGTATGCCAAACTGGTCTCTCTTCCTGAAATAAGCTGCAACATAATAAATGATTCAATATAGATAATCACCTCTATTGTAAATTAAATCATTGTAGGTTTCCAGTAGTCACGAAAATTTGGAAAACATAATATGGCGAACAAATGTTCCATTAAATTAAATTAAATTGCATATTTAGGTAAAAAACTATTGTTTTACATCATTACATTCCCATGAAGGCAACAAAGTACGAGTAAGAGAAATTTTCAATACTGGAAAGTCCAAAAGCATGAGATTGGTTGAATTTAGAAAGTGGGCTATAAAACACATTCTGGATAAAAATTTGATTTTTGATCCGTCAGTTTTCAAGGTAGAACCCATTTAATGGTGGGTCCAGATCAATAATCCAGAACATATTGCAAGTTAAGGGGGCCCACACCAGTTATGGGTCCTATGTTCCCAGACCCAGACCCAAGCTTTGGATATCTGAAAATGCATGAAAGTTGAATGTAAAGTGGAAGGATGGATGGATGGGTTATTGGATTGGGCCAGGTACTGCCAACTAAAAAATAAAAATATTGTCCTTGCTAAAGCAAACATCTTTGAAGTCTTCTTCACATTCAGATAAAGCCTTTCTTTGGACCAGGAAATCATGACAAAACAACTTGGTACTTAACTCCACACAGGTAACAGAACCAGACAACCAGTAGGGGCAGCCCAAAATGGAGACCAATAAATACTTATTACTATTAAAATAATATTCTCAATGATGTAATTCAAGTCTTAGCCACACAAAAAACAGTAAAAGGAATCATAATCAAACCCGTACCTTCCAGTAACCATGACTTAAATAATTACCATTCATAGATACTGTTGATGGTACTACTTACGTCATTGCAACAGCCCAACAACATGACTAATAAAAAATTAGCAGCAACAAAATATAGACTGGGGCATCTTCATTCAGAAGATAAATCTCCCTATTCATTCCACAAATAAACTAGAAAACTCACCACAGATGAATTGCTCAAGACCCCCTATTTATAGACTCGATCTCAATATCCACATAAATTTGAAACCAAAGCTCAGTTTGGAAGGAGTACAAATACAAATATATAGAGTGCAAAACCTTGTATTTTGTATGTATTTGTACTGTACATATTTGTGTTTGTACTCTTTCCAAACTGAACCCGAGGAAGCAAATAGTAATCCCGTAACTTCAACAAGTTAGACTTCAAACTTCAAAGCTCCCAATCATAGTATAACTTGAAAACAAAGTAATTAATAATTCCTAATAAAAACCAAGTATTATCCTAATTAAACTAGAACTCAAGGCAGAAGAAAGCAACCAAAAACTAACTGACAATGACTAAAAGATTATCAGTACTTGCAGAACTCTTGATTAAAGATTCCATAAACACCTAAAGTAATCCTCTTTTATGGCAATCAGTATACCATAAGAATTGTTGCTGTCCCTTATCCTATATCACTCATTTATAGAAAGATTAACCTGATTATGTGGGATCAGCTAAATGAATACTATTTTTCTATATGAAGAGACACTTTCGTGGTCAAATTGTGAGTTGGTCTTGTCTTATTACCTCAATCCATATCCTTGTAGTCCCTTGGGCCTTAGCTCATCTAAAACAATCCAACTTCCATCAGATTATTCATTATTGATACAGTAAGCAATTTTCTCACTGGGCAGTTTCCTCTCTTTCCCTCACTTCATCACATATTTGGATTACTAAATTAGTGAGGATGCACTAATTCTTAATTCTATCAATTCTATTCTTCTACTAATCTACTCATCTGTCTCAAATTCTCAATATCTTCATTCTATCAATTCTAGTCTAATATTCATCTGTGCTCATTTTAGGGTAGCATTCCTTCTTGATTGCCCAACATATCATTCTGGTTGTCCATACCTTATCCCATAATACAACTTACATAATGACTGGATAAACACTACTTTTTGTTCCCCCAAATGGTAAGTATCGTGTAAATGAGTCAGAATGTGATGACTGTAATGCCTCTATAAGAGGTCTTCCACCCCTGCCATGCATTTACCATTATTACCTCTCAAAAAGATATTGCAAAATCGCATCACGATAGACATTGAATATTCCATTTATTTTGGCACCAAGTAGTAAACAGAAAGAATATAGGGAATTTGTTTATGTGGCTATAGCATGCATAGTTGAGGTCTGGGGCCAACATAATTGTAGTCCCATCCAGGAGAGTGCCTATACAAAAAAAGGAAAGCATGCCATCTGATCATCCATTATTTGCAGAACTTTCTAATAATCATGTTTCAATATGGTTTCTGGTCCCATAAAATCTGGTTGGACTCATCCAATGGAGGGCCCCAACCCTCCATGTACTGGCTCAATGGCTAGTTTCCAGGTCTCAGACTAATAGATAGAGAGAGAGAGAGAGACTTACGGGTGCTTACAAAGCATGGGACTTTGAATTGTTGTAGCATATTTGCAAGTGGACAGCTCTGTTATGGAACTAATCATAACTCTAGGCTGCTCAGAACATACAAACCTCACCTGAAGACATTTAGTAAACATCATCTTAGAGGAGGTGGAAGAGTAATGTAAAAAATCGTTAAAGTGATTCCCAAACTGCCAATTTTTTTTATACCTCAGTTTCCCGAGGCTGATTTGTGAGATCACATATGGTTCCATTTGTGTACTGATGAGCATGATACCTACATGAAAACATTATCTGAATAGTCATTATTTTCTCAAACTATTTGTATCTTACCACACTGACATATTAGTACCTTTGAGAGGCATCTTTTGAACGAGGATCTTTCAACTTAGACACATCAGATAGGTTCTGGTGGAAAGCAGCAGTTGCCTCAGCATCATACAAACCTAAAATAAACTCCTGAACCACCTGTACCAATGCAAAATAATAATCTGTGCTCATAAGTGAATAGGACACTCACCTAGGCAACAAGGTGGTCACCTAGGTGCCAATAACAGCCATACAGGAACTTTTTACTTTGTGTATATGCAATACTAGTGTGGACCCAATGCATGTGGCCATGCTATATAAATAGCTAACTAATGTTTTGTTTCTTTTGTAAGGTTTTACTGTTGGAAAATGTTACTGAGAGAGAAGATGCAATTGAGGGATGAGAGTGTGACCAAGGGTTTTGGATTACTGGAAAGGAGAAGCTGAGGAACCAATCACATCAATTGAAACTTTCAACTCTCCCCCCCCCCCCAGGATCTTACTTTTCTCTGTCTGAGCAAACAAAAACAGGACATATATCCACTCTTTTCTGCAATAATTATGGTAGCACTTAAGAGGTATAAAGCAGAATTTTTTTTGCTAGGTGCTCCATGTTTCTTTGCTGATTTCACATGTGAATCTGTTACATTTAAATTTTGGCTGGTATTCTTTCGGGGTGGAGGGGCTTCTTTTCATTACATTCTTGTATTTTATGATCAAGCATATGTATATGTAGTACTGCTGCCAAGTAATGATTATCTTATGATGATTTGTAAATTTAATTAGTAGAATTGCAATTACCTTATTGGCCTGATGATTTAGCCTGCTTTGTTAGGTAACATGCATTAGTGATGTTGATACTAAACTCTTACACATCCTGGACATTATTCAACACAAACACTGAATAGAATTTTCTAGCTTCTTATTGAGCAGCAAAAATGATAAAAGATTACTAGAAAATATTGTAGTGCAAGAGACAATGTGAATATTAACAGTCTTGCACTATTTGGAATGATTTAATTGCAACAGATATTTGGCTTAAAAAAAAAAACATGTTTCACAGAATAAATGGATCCATATTTATGCCCCAAATTTCAGAAAATTAAATGTCATACCATTTTTTGAGAAAAGTTGAATTAAATGTCATACCATGACTTCAGACCAAATAACCTAGAGGTGTCCACTGCAAAACCTAGCGCCCAATTGGAGTGTGTTCATGCAAAGATTGCTGAAAACATGCTACAGTAATGATTCAGGACCCATTTAGGAGGGCTGAGCTGAAGACTCAACTAAGCTGGTTCAACTGCTTTAAAGCGCTCCAGACAAGCTATTCAAAGAGGCTGAAGCAAGACAGCCCTCCAAATAACTGACTGACAGTCAATTTGGGCACTGCTCCATTTTATCACTATTTTCCTGCCTTGTAACCCATCACTATCTGTATCCACTTTAGAATTGGACATCTTGACCATTCAGTCTGTACTCCATTTGGACAATCAAGACAGAGGTAGTGAACAGGCCAGGAAAAGACCAGAGTTGGATGACTACATTCTATCTTAAATTAACTATAAAAAAAGTATAAGGAAGACAAGGAAATTTTCCAAACTCTCATGCTCATTCATCCAGATTTGTATTTTTGTGCTCATGAACAGAATGGAATAACAAAACAGGATTCATGTAGACAACCCCATATGATTGGGACAAGGCAATGATGATGATGACAATCTGTGTGTTCTTTAAATCTATGTCAAATTGCTTGTTCTATGATATAAGGTCATAATTCTCATAAGGAATGGAAGGTTCAAATTTTTGTGTATTTCTTTTCCACTTTTTCTTTTCTTAATTTTCTTTTTGTGCTTTGGAAATGGAAAGTTCAAAATTGATCCAAAAGGGCAAGCTTTTTAAAAAGAAAGTTTGTTTTATATATCTAATTTTTATTTTCTCTGAATGATTTTTGGACAAGCTGGTCGTATATTAAATGTATGATGTTCAAAACCATAAAATATATTATAATACAATTAAATTATATATATATGACTGTTAACTATGTAATTTAATTGTGTGTGTGTGTGTGTGTGTATATATATATATATATATATATAGAGAGAGAGAGAGAGAGAGAGAGAGAGAGAAATGATTGATTGCAGTTTTTTATTGATAAACCAATTGCTTATGACTGTTGACTGTAGACCCAAAAGTTCCATATCCTTCAATTAAGCTACCTGAATGCATCTAATGGATCTAAAATTTCAGAGACTTCGAGAGGCATTGAAGAGCTTGCCTTATCTTCCTCCAAATGAAATTGCCGCAAATGCTTCTGATAACAAAACTCATACGACCACCAACCCTCTTGCTGCACAAGAGAGCAATGTAATTAATGGCATTTCAAACTGAATAGAAAACAATATTTCTTGAAACAAAGAATGGTTTTGTTGTTATAAAATTCAGAAAGTAAAGATGTACAGATTAGAACTCAGCAAGTTTGGTTTCTGCCTGAAAATAACTACATAAAGTTGAACTTTGATGGGAGTAGTTATGGCAACCTGGGATCTTCAGGTGTGGAAGGTGTTTTCAGAGATAAGGAAGGTCATATATTAGCTATGTTTTCAGGCCCCTAAGGTTTTGGAGACTCTAGAAAGGATGAATTAATGGCTGTTCGCTGTGGGATACAAAAAGCAAAAGAGATGAATTTAGAAAGATTAGTTGTTGAGGGTGATTCTCATGTGGTGATAGGGTGGCCCAGAGATGAGAAGATAACAGTTTGGACCTATGTAGATGTGTTAAAGCAAATCAAACGGTTAACAATGAATATGGTAATAATCTATCAGTGGGTACTCAGGTCGGCAAATAGCTTGGATGACTCTTTGGCCAAGCAAGGGGTAAACAGGGAACAGATTTTCTGGGCTCAATTGTAGTTGTTTTTCTCTTCTTTTGGTGTACGTTATCTCCTATTCATATTAATAGAATTCATCACTGTTATCTATCAATAACAAAAAACAAAGATGTAGTCTTAAAAAAACAAGCCATTTATGTGGTAGTTCCCAGTGATAGATTCTCACTCTAATGAAGCATCCCTCCTTTAGCAATTCAAGTAACTCATCCGGTGTCTTCAAGTTAGCCCGTCTCTCAGTTTCCACAATCATGTTGCTAGTATTGTGTTGGGTTACTTCTTTTCCAGTTCTGGATTTCTCAACCCTGGGCAAGAAACATTGGAATTTCTGGCCATCTTTGCTTGACATTACAACTGATTCTTGATCTTCATCCTGGAAAATAATGATATTTGGTCACAAACACTACTTTGCCTTCCTATAATCAAAATTTTGAAAAGAAACTTCATCACATGTAAGAAGTTTAGAAACTCAAATAGTAAAAAGTAAAGCAACACATCAAGGTAATCCTAAGATAACTTAGCAAAAAATCCATCTTAAACCAACAAGAAAACACAATTCAATGGTTATGCTTGTAAAGTGATGGGAAAGGTAAAGGTTGTAAAGGATACATGTACGGATGTACCAAGAACCTGAAGCCACTGTTAAGACCTACATCTAAAAGTATAGAACATGTGGATCACTCCCATTGCTCATCCCTTTCACGAACAGGAGAAGCAAACCCCAACCATACAACTTGAACCTCCATTGAAGAAAAAAACTAGCAGAAAGGTAAAGCTAGAAATGCCAAGACAGAGAAAGTTGACTCAACAAGAGTAGCAGAAAGCAAGTATTATGGTGCATTTGGGAGGAAAGGAATGTGAGACTCTTCGAAAATAAGACTAGAAGTGTGGAGGAAATGATTGAAAATATTATAATCAAGGTGGGACACTGGGTAAAAACTCTGGAAAAATTTTCCCTGTTCACAACAGAGAAAATCATAAGAAATTGGAGATTAGTGGCAGATTCATCCTCAGAAAGACTATCCTTTAGAGCTTTCTGGCAGGCACCTCCATCACCATATGTCAAACTTAATTTCGATATTTGAAACCTAGGAAATCGTTGTCTTTCTGGGATGGGAGGAATTGTTAGGAATCATGAATGCTTAATTCTGGCCATGCACTCAGGTCAAATTGGAACTGGGGACTCTACAAGGGTTGAAATGCAAGCAGTGCTGTATGGACTTCAAAAAGCCAAGCGACTGAACTATAGGAACTTAATTATTGAAGGAGACTCAAGGGCTGTCATAAACTGGTTACAAACACAAGAAGGAACCTGTAATATACACATTTTGAGGGAGCCTAGATTTTCATTGCAAGAGTTGGGAGCTGAGGCTGTCTGGGTGTACAGATCTTCTAATTACTGCTAGATGGGCTGGCTAAACAAGGGGCAACAAGAAAACATATATTTTGGGGTGTGGTTCCTTGAAGGAGTTTGTAATTTGAGGGTTTTCTAGGGGTTAGCTGAGGCTAGCCTCCTTATTGTTACATGATCATCTTCAAATGATTAATAAAAAGTTATCTGTTACTGATGTAAAAAAGCAAGTATTAAACATAAACAAATAATTCTATATGATTCTATAAAGAGTCCCTTTCATAAGACAAAACTACTGTTCACACACAAATTAAGGTGCTTCTGGACATGTGCATTGTACCATCCTGCTTATGGAAGTACTAAAACTAAAGGATTGCCAATTGAAAACAAAGAAGGATCAAAAACAAAAGCATAGGCCAAGTGGTTGCAAAATATGGTTTGGTTGTGTAGCAACAAAGTTGTCTAAGTTCCTGATCATATTTGATGATAATTAGCAAACAAACCCTAAACAACCAAAGAATTCGTCATGAAGACTAAATAAACCTACCCATCCCATCACAGAGAATTTCATCAATAACCTATCAGACTCAGTAGTTAGTACAACCCTTCAAAATACAGCTAATGCATGAATAAAAACAAATATATGTCCATGCACTAAGGAAAATATGGAATTTAAAAAAGTCCACTCACAGGATGAAAGGGTGATCCCACTGAATGAAATTCAATCTTGTATTTTGGTTCACGGGAGCTATGCCCAAATGACACACCTGCTAATCAAGAGTGAAAAGAGCATTAAGAGAAACACATGCTTGCAGTATGCAAAAGGATTGGCATGTACCTCATCTCTACCGTAAATTGCAATTGAGGTTAATTTAATGCATAAACAACACCAAATTAGAAAACAATTGTTAGATGGACTTATGGAATATCTTCCTTTCTTGAAAAGAACATAAAGATCATACATAAGTGTGTTAATGTATTTCTGTGCGTGAAGATTGAAGATTTGGTCTACAGTGAATAGTTTAGGCCCTGATTTTACAAAATTATTCCATTTTTTAGCTATTGGAGCCCAGATATCATCTATTCTTTCTATTTAACATCTTGCTTTTAAAGTCGCATTGAAAAGAACAATTCTGAGATTGAGACATCGAATCTAAGTAAACAAAAATATAGTATTGATAAAAGAATGTACCCAACAACAAAATATTGTCATTCTCAAACGGTGCCCTAATTGTATTTTGAAGTCCCACAGAGTAGTGCACAGACAGTGCGTTGCATCACCTGTGGATTGACTTCAAGATGAGTAAATTACAATATGGTAGTGTTGCTTCCCCATCAATGTTTTACAGAGTAAAGTTCTTCCCGAGTATTGACTTCTGATCCCTGAAGCCGCAATTGTTTTCTATAGACATTTATTTTCGATTTCTTGAGGCGAGACGGAATTATCAAAGAATTTCCTTCATGAAATAATTTTCTTTACCAGCCTAATTTCAAAAAAATAAAGAAAAGAAAAAAAGAAAACATCCACAAATCCTCCTTGTCTTCAGAAAAGTAGCCAAAGTTCCCTCTAGATGCAATTTCGGGACTGCTAACGACCGTAAAATCTTAAGCAGAAGAAGAAAAACAAAGAAATATTGCTCGTAAACTAAGAAAACAAACAACCCATATAGGCATTCAGTTAAATAATACAAAATCAAGTATTTACAAGGTTGATTGATGAACTGCTTATAAATTTAACCGAGGATCCCCCAGAGCACCGAACTTTTATGTTAATTGACACAGATCAAAAAGTACCCATACGAATAGAGAACATAAAAGGTTTCAGAAAAAATTGTCGAGGCATATAAAAAAGAAATGAGACTGAGGATTTCCATACCAGGATGGGTAGCTAAGATCTGCTCGGCCGAGACATAATTGAACAGATAAAACAAAATAAGGAGAATTAGGGACGACAAGCCCATCTCCGCCTCTCTCTGTCTCTCTGTCAGCAATTCAAAACTCCAACTAAAAAAAGGAAAAATATATCAAACGGATTACAGCTTACAGTAATCCTCCTTCCTCGGTTATAACTGGGGAGTGGGGACCCAGTTCTATTACTTATATCTCATGTGTTTTTGAGTCGAGGTGGAGAACAGACACTTTCTTGGTCGGACTGGAGTCTTCGCAGAAAGGTTTGATCGGTCCAGGCCACATTATGTATTTTTGTTAGGTCAGCCCAGCCCAAAACTGATCCACAACTTCTTGTTTACTTTTTTTTGTTGGAATGACGCTCTTCGTCCAATCAACGAGTGATGGCTGTCAAGTATATTCATGCTTGGCGCAGGAAGCCGAATCGGTATCGAGTTTGGATCACCTGACACCAAACACGTTCCAACCCTCTATCATCTCCCACCATGTATAAGATGTGTGGTGTGAGATGATATTGGTAGAGGGTTGGAACGTATTCTATTGGCAGGTGACCCGGATTTATTACTTCTAATACAGGGTGAGATGGGGCTGTGAGCCTGTGAGATGCCCTTGTAAGGAGCGGATTCAAGGAAGTCAGAACCTAACATCTATGATGGGGTAAAGATAAGATACCACAAGAAATTTGACAAAAATTCTTCTAAAATGAATTTTGATGAATATCAATTGATTGATAATTATTTAAGTCTCATTCTTTTATAAAAAAAATTATTTAATTAATAAGTGCATTTAATAGATTCTATTATGATATCAAAACAAATGAAAGTTTCGTTGTTGTCTTGTTTCTGTTAGTCTTCGCTATCGGCAAATCACCATTTAAGCTGATAGGATTCCTCCTTTCCGCCATTATAGAAGCTTCAATGCCATTTTTCTTGCCATTATAGCAAGATTCGACGGTTAATGCAACGATGCTCATCGTCACCAAAAATCTTGCGGCCTCTATTCTTTCTTTCACCCCCTCAGATTACGACAAATCACTTATTTGGGAAGAAAATCCTTGAATCGATGAGTCTCTGGTAATGTAGGGGTTTGAACTCTACTCTTGGAGCTCATTGATGCATCCAAGTTTTCATCAGATTTGATCGAGTGTAGTAGTTACTGGCATATGCAATACTTATTCATTTTTTTTTACAATTGAATAGTTATGAAAATACTTTTTTGTTAAATCTTCTTTTAATATTTTTCTATTCAATTTGTTATGATTATTTGAATGATGGTGTTAATTTACCATTTGTCTTTGAATTTATTGCCTTTTTATATTTTTTTTTGAAAATTTTCTTGTATTTTTTTGGATTTTCATGTTTTTCTATAACTTTAGTGTTTTAGTAATTTTTGTTGTTTTTTAGCAATTTATACATTTTCCTCTATTTTTATTTATTTGCAAATTTTGTGTTTTTCTATATTTTTGTCATTTTTTCCACAATTTCTATTTTTCGTTTTTTTCATTTTCTATTTTTTTACAATTTTTTGTTTTTATGTGAAAAGATGCTTTAATTTTTTTTATTATTTTTTATTTTCTTTATAATTTTGTTGTTTTACAAGAAATATATTTCTTATTTTCAGTATTTTTTTGCATTTTTTATTTGAAAATATTTCTTTGAACATTTTATTATGTTTGGGTCAATGTGGGTTGTGATCCATTAACATCAACAAATACTAGCGGGGACCCATGCAATGCACGGGATTTGTTAAGTTAAAGATAAATAATAGGAACATGTAAGAGTATACAACAGTTTTATATAATAATTAATAATCATTTATATTTTATATACTACTTTTAATAAATTTTACAATACAAAAATAACAATAATTAATTTTAAATAGGGTTGTTTATCAAACTTAGGGATGGCAATTTTTCGCATTTCCCCAATCCCCATGGGGATCTGTTCCAAATTGGATGGGGATGGGAATGATTTCTCTCCATGGGGACGGAGATGGGGAAATTTTCATCCTCATTGGTGGGGACGACATGAGAATGGGGAGAGCACTCTTTGCCCCACAGAGACCTCAATCCCTATCCCATGAGATTCCCGCTAATATATGTATATATATGCATATGTTTATATATGTATATATGTATAGATACGTCTATATGTTAATATTTTTAAAAACATGTTTGAATAATTTCTAATAGGATTGCAAATTTTAATTGTTTAATTTTTATTTTTTAAATAAAATAAAAACAAAAATGTAATGGTTGACAATATAAAGAATCACGGGAAGTGGGGATCCTCGTGGAAATAGGGATGGGGAGAGGCTCCTTGTCCCCACCCCACCCCATTGCCATTCCTAATCAAACTAATAAAACTGAACAACCCAATTTCTAGTATTTCCAATCAGCTTTGGTTCAACAATTTCCTAATCCAAGTGGGTTGGATTAGTTTTGTCTTGGCCATTTATAAACTGACTAAAATCGAATGGCCCGAGCATAAATATATATTAATATTTATATTTTAATGCAGGAAAGTGGAAAAATTCCAATATTCCCTAGGCTAAAATATTTTATATCATAAATTTAATTAAACTTATTTTTTAATAATGCCATTTTATTTTTTAATTTAAATTTAATTTTTTAAGTTTAAATCCTTTGAACCGACCAACCAAACTGAAAATTGACCCAAACTGATATAATCTGAGTGACCAACTTCCTAACATGACCAAGTTGATTTAGTTTGCCAAACAACTTACAACTAAACCGAATCAACCCGTGAACAATAGCTTAATCTCTAATAATTATTAAACTCCAATAATTATTGAAAATTTTCTATTAAATAATAAAACAAAAATAGATTTATAGATAATTATTGAAAATATGTTTATCACAAAAGCAATAAATAATTACTAAAATACAATAAATATTAATTTTAGTATATATAAATATATAATAAATATAGATTAGGCTTTAAAGTTATTATTAATAAACGTTAATTTTTTGAAATTTATTTTCAAGAATTATTAATTGGTATAAATGAAATTAGTTATTTACAATATTATTTATTTATTGAAATAATATCATTATTTATTTTTAAAATATTAATTACTTGTTGAATTTAATAATCCATAAAATTATAGTACTATTTGTTGAAGTTTGGATGTTTTTTGTGATTAATTTAAAATAGTTGTGTTATGTTAGGACTTAGATAGGTAGTGGGGACCACAATAGTTATATGAGTCCAAATCTTATTATGTTTTTGAGTCCTATTCATACTGTTATACTTTTTATTATAAATAACAAGAGAAGGGGGCGAACAGAACATTGCTCTCCTACTTCTCAAAATCTTTTCTTCTCTTATTCTTTTATCTTCCTTCTCTCTTCAATAAAACACTTTTTTCTTTTATATTTTTTAATCCAATAGATTTCTACTTGGTATCGGAGCTTGGTTTAGGGTTCTTGAAGCATTCTCATGCAGCCATAGATCGGATAATTGTATGAAGTAAGAAGCGGTTGATCGATTTGCTTTTGATTGCCCAGTTCTTGGATTTTTTGGTGAGATCGAGTCATCAAGAAGGTGATCTTCATCTTGGCATCAAAATCAGGAGGAACTAGAGTACGGGGAAGAGTCCTAGAAAAGTTGGACTCTCTATTCTTGATCTAATCTTGGGTTCATAGGTATTGTTTGATTTCTTTTACTATTCTGTAGAGGACGATTAGCTTTCTAGACCTTTCTAGGCCTTTCAGAGTGACCATTTTAGTCTTCTCTCTCTTGGGAGACATTGGGAGGAGAGAGATTTCTCTCCAGTTAGGGTTTTTCTTTTCCCATAAGGGTTTGTTTCTGTGTGTGTGCCTGGAAGCTCTCAACTTTCTTCTTTCAGTCTATTAAACTGTTTGAAGTAAGATGAAGAATTGGAATACCAAGTTGAAATCCATCGGTACCATGGGACTGGGTGTTGGAAGTGGTAATGATATTTTTGGGTTTGGAATTATTATTACAGTAAAACTAGATGGAACAAACTATTTAGAATGGGCACAATCTATCAAGATGGCCATTGGTTCTCGCGAAAAGCTAGGGTATATCACAGGGGAGGAAAGAAAATCAGATATAGATTCCTCTCGGTGGGTACAAGAGAATTACATGATGATGTCCTAGCTATGTAATTCTATGCTACCTCACATTGGAAAAAAAATTTTTATGGGCTAATACTGCTAATGAGATTTGCGATGGAGTAATCAAAACCTATTCTCAGTAATACTGCTAAGGAGATTTGGGATGGAGTAATAAATACAGATTAAGAGTTTAAAATTATTATTCATAAATATTAATTTTTTGAAATTTATTTTCTCGAATTATTCCTTGATATAAGTGAAATTAGTCATTCACAATATTATGTAAAAATATTAAATTATTATTAATTTCAATATTATATTATAATTATTTTTTTACTTTTCATATTTTTTTAATTTATTACATAATTTCTTTATTTTAACTATTTAAGTCTAGCTATGTTAAATATTTTGTTATTTAAATACTTAAATAATATGTAAAATATTTAAATTTTAAAATATTAATTATTTATTGAATTTAATTATCCAGAAAATCATAATTTATACTATTATTACATAATTTCATTATTAGTTTTGTAATATATTAAATTTACTATTAAAATATTATGTTATAATTATTTTTCTACTTTAAAGATTTTTTTTTTAATTTATTGCATAATTTCTTTATTTTAACTATTTAAAATCTAGTTATGAGAAGTATTTAGTTATTTAAATATTTAAATAATCTATAAAATATATCAATTTTTTTGTTATTTGAATTTTATTTATTTAAAGCTATTACATATTATTAAATATTTGAAAAACATTTAAATTGATAATCTAGAGAAACATAATTTAAATTGTTGGTACATAATTTTGTGATATATTTTGTAAAAATATAAAATACTTTTTTATGTTTTTAATAAATATTTTAAAGTTATTATATAATTTTGTTAGAATATTTAAATAATTATTAAATGTTTTAATCCCAACTTTCTTTAGATAGATATAAATAAAAGGTAGGGGAGAGGATAAATAGGAATCAGAGATAATTTAGGAGAGAAACTCTATACTAAATTAGAGATAATTTTGGAGATAAGTAGGAATTAGAGATAATTTTGAAGATAAATAGGAATTAGAGATAATTTTGGAGAAAGTGGGGGATAGTGGGAGAAGTAGTTTAGGAGAAGAGGTTATTGGGAAAGTGCATCTCATTGGTTGTTTCAAAAATGACATAGAATTAAAAAAATAAGAAATTCAAAAAAGGAGAAAATTTCTAGACTTCCT